TGAATTCCAAGCCGACAGAACGACAGGGAGGGTTTGGATCTACCGGCAAACAGGGTAGGTACTTCGGCAAACATTTCTAAAGGACACAAGGCCTGAGCTGACCTTACAAATGAACAGAAAATAGTTTACTGGCCTGGTAGATTCAGGAGCTGATGTCACCATCATTGCTTCTAAGTTCTGGCCTAAGAATTGGCCACTTTGACTTGTATCCGCAGTCTTCACGGGTGTAGGAAAAGCTACTGACTGATATCCAACAGAGCATTGAAATTTTTGTGTAAAGGGCCTGAAGGCCAGGCTGCTACTATCCAGCCTTATATTACTGATAGAGCCATTAATCTGTGGGGAAGAGACCTATTAAGTCAATGAAGAGCATATGTTACTATTCCTTATGTTTCTCCTGCTGCAACCAATATTATGTCCAAAAATGAGTTAAAATCCATTAGAAGGGCTTGGACGACAAGAAAATGGGTGTACGGAGCCAATTACTGCCAAAATGCAGCCTCCTTATATGGGACGGGGATATCCTGCACAGAATTCAAATTTAGTGTTAGGGCCACTGTTTCTAAACAACATTATGCCTTACCATTAAAATGGTTAACAACTGCCCCAGTGTGGGTGGATCAGTGGCCCCTTCTGAAAGAGAAATTAGAGGCTTTAGAGCAATTAGTGCAAGAACAATTGGATGCAGGTCATATAGATATGTCCACCAGTCTATGGAATTCTCCTGTGTTTGTGATAAAGAAAAAATCTGGGAAATGGAGAATGTTGACTGACTTAGGAAGGTAAACGAGTATGGGACCTTTGCAACCTGGGCTCCCATCCCCTACTATGATTCGTCAGAACTGGTCATTAATTATAGATTTGAAAGATTGTTTTTTCACAATTCTACTACAGCCAGATGATAGAGAAAAATTTGCTTTTTCTGTACCTTCATACAATCATATGGCTCCTATACAATGCTATCAATGGAAAGTGCTTCCACAAGGTATGCTTAATAGCCCTACTATGTGTCAGAATTTTGTTAATCAGCTGCTTTCACAATTGCGTATTCAGTTCCGGCAAGCATTGATTAACCATTACATGAATGATATTCAAACGCCTACACAAGTAGAAGATCTTTATCTTTATTATTAGGCCCAAATACGGCCTAATAATAGGAGAGGAAAAGGTGCAAAACCAAGATCCCTTCCTTTATCTTGGTGTAAAAACTCACAAGGTAACCATCATTCGCCAAAAAGTACAGATTCACCGAGATAATTTGAAAACTTTAAATGATTTCCAGAAGTTACTAGGTGATATAAATTGGTTGTGACCTGCTTTGGGAATCCAACTTATACCTTATCTTTTCCAAACATTAGCCGTGATCCCAACCTTAACAGCCCTACCCAAAAAGCTGAATTAGCAGCCGTTATAGAATTGTTGCATCTTGTACCTGCTTCCCTCAATGTTGTGACAGATTCACTATATGTATGGTTCATAGTCCTAAATATTGAAACTGCACATATTGTTTCACAAAATGAATTACATTATCTGTTTTTGCATTTACAAGAATTAATACAGATGGCATAGGCAACATCCTTTATATATCACTCATACTTGCAGTCATTCTAACCTTCCTGGCCCATTAGCCTTAGGAAATTCCACTGCTGATGACTTATTACAAGGCACTTTACAGATGACACAACAGGAGCATATGCTTCACCATACTAATGCTCGAGGACTCGCCCACAGACACACTATAATACATGCTGAGTCAAAAGACATCATTAGTGCCTGTCCTTCTTGCAAGCCCCTCACTATGGCTCCATATACTTCTCGAGTGAATCCTCATAGACTATGGGCAAATGAACTTTGGCAATCTGATGTTACCCATATTCCTGCTTTTGGTAAGCTCTCTTATGTACATGTTACTGCGGATACCTTCTCCGGATATATCTGGGCCACAGCATGTACAGGAAAAAAGGCTATACATTAAAAGTGATAATGGCCCTGCATACATATCTCATAAGGTAGCCCGCTGCTTTGCAGCACAACAAATTACTCATCTTACTGGCATTCCCTGTAACCCTCAAGATCAAGGGATCATAGAACACACTCATCGGGTACTTAAAAACATGTTAATTAAACAAAAAGGGGGAGAAGAAGGACTTAGACTACACCACGGGAACAATTACATCGTGCCTTATATACTTTAAATTTCTTGGACATACAAGTACCCCATACACGTCCTGCTGCTAAGGTACACTGGCACAAGCAAAACGTCACCCCTGTTCATCAGCCGGTATATTGGAAAGATGAGAAGGGACACTGGGAAAAGGGAGAGGTTGTTGTGTGGGGCAAAGGGTATGCTTATGTCTCTATGGATCAAGGCTACCAGTGGTTACCCAGTAGTCGGTTGAAACCCAGGAATAAGCCAATCCAAGTGACCTCGGTTAGACATAATCCCACCAAAGAGTTTCACAGAATGTCCAGCGGGAAACTGATAATTTGTGCCTAATGTGCCATGCCCTCTCCTCAGGCGCACTAGGACCGCTCAGCCTCCTACCTGGGGACAAGTTAAGAGGTTGACACATGATGCTGAAAAATACTGATGCAGACTCGCAGCCCGCAAACTCCTGCTCACCTTTTCCTTGCGATGCTTGCGGTTATCACTACTACAGTAAACGCTGATAACTATACTTACCGGGCTTATATCCCTCATCCACCTCTCAATCAGGGCATAAATTGGTATGACTCCCCCGTGCCGGTATATACAAATGACACGGAATGGACACCTGGGCCATTTGACAGCAGAGGACCACATAGGCCAAATGAAGAAGGTCCTGTTATGGATAATTACACTATAGGGATCGAGTGTCCTCCTTATGTTTTGGTTACGGGCAACACTGCCTCAAGAGTAAGCCTCAAGTATGACTATCTATTATTAAAAATGGGACCCAACACAAACATTTTCTTACTATCAGCCCATTCTCTGATTGACTCCAGTCTTACAATTAATGACACTCTTCCAATGCTTCTATCTTATGCTACTCGCACATTGTCAGAATGACAGATGCGTGACTTGGGACGTATATAGAAGGGAAATAGGGTGAGTTCTTTTAAATGCTTCCTATGGAAGCGTCATTCATTAAAGCCCTATGGGCTCAGCTTGCCTTAAAAATTCGTTACAAAATCTACGATGGTGTGTTCATAATCAAACTATCAGCACCACTGCTAATGGCTCAATCATTTGGCATGGTGGGGGAATTTCCGCACCCAGTCATTTACAATGACTGTTACAGAAGCATATAGGGAAATTAACTCCTGTCCGTCACCCTTTACATACCTGGAAGGGCACATATTATAAAAACAGCTCCAGCAATATTTCTACTTTATCCTTCACAGTCAATAGTACCCAGTACATACGGGCTTGTGTCCGTTTGCCATACATACTACTGAAAGGACGGATAGTTTGGAATGATTCTGAGACCCTTATAACTTGTGTTAACTGCTCATTACACACCTGTCTTAACAATTCTATACCCTTTAATATGTCATCCAAAAGCCTGTATTTACTTAGAGCGTGCACTGGCCTGTGGCTGCTGATTCACATGTCTCAACCATAGCAGTATTCTCCAGAAATGTGTCTGATGGACCATCTGCAAGCAGAAATATGTGAGACTTTCAATACAAATCTGGACATGTTATCCAGTTCTAAGATCTTAGAAAGTATATCAGAGGGATTGGGGAAATTAAACCCTAAAGAGCGTATTAGTATTTTTAATTTCTCTACTGCTATTCTGTTTGTATTAATATGCAGCGTATTTATCCTTGCATGTGCAGTCTGGTACCGGGGACAACGAGCCTGTCAATGTACCGACGGACACCTCAGGTTATACAATGTCCTCCTACAGTCCGTTGTATACAAACAAAAAGGGGGAGCTGTTGGAGAACAAGAAGCTGGAGGCACCGTGAGAATGTCCTGAAGGAAAGGGACGGAGCAGCAGGAACTGAAAGCCGCCGGGACTGCACGTCCTCTCCAGAAGGGACATCATACCGGCACCAGGCCAGGGATAAGAATGTTTTGTCTGGCGCCAGACGTACTCATGACCCAGTATGGAATACACTGCAGGTGCACGGCCTGTCAAGATGCCAAATACTATGTTGTACGTGCTTGCTGTCATCAGACAAATTGCAAAAATAAAAGAGGCTTGAGCCAGGGGACTGGTACTTCGGGCTCCTGGAGAGTCTTAGCCCCCTGCTTCGTAATTCTCTCATCACTGGACCTTTAGGCCCTGTCTCTCTACAGTGCCCCCTCCCTCTGTCCCTCCCCCACTTGCACTCTCTCAAAAATAAATAAAACATTAAAAAAATTATAACAGCTGAAGATAAAGTACCAAGACCAGAAAATGCCCAGTGCCCACCCCACAACATGCCTGTGATCCTGTTCTGAGTCATCACCTCACATGACCAAATTAGGCCTGCCCCAGAGACTGGCCACACAGTGTGTAGCCCAGTGCTTGGCACACAGTAGAGTGGTATTCAGCAGTCCCCCAGTCTCAGAAAGCAGATTTGGGGGCCCTGGGTTCCTTTCAGGGCAAGCAATCTAAAGATGCAGTGAAGACCAGTCACAAGGAGGCAGCAGTGCAGCTACCTGCCCTCTGGCCATCAAACCACAGGGTAGGGCCATGGACAACCAGTCTGCCAACCTCCAGCCTCGGAGTGGGGCTAGTGTTGGCAAGACAGACCCCCTTCTGAGCAGTCCAGGGTTGCTGGCAGGCTTCTGTGGAAGGGTTAATGCTGTGCAGAAAACCAAGGCAGAGCAATGGAACTGAACAAGTGAGAAGAGGAGGGAGGCCACACCTAAGACGGTGTGGGAATGTGGCACACAAAGGGCTGGACGGCCTCTGCCCTAGTTGAGTTGGTTTTCACAGGGGCAGTCCCAGGGCTTGTCTGGGAGGGGAAACACATAACCGTCAGAGAAATAAAATAGCCTTATTTTATTATGTACATATTATATGTAAACGAACCACCCACTCCGAAAACATTAGGTTCTGGCTTTTCCCGGGCCCTAAGAAACCTCATGGAGACTGTTCCTTCCCCAGAGAGGGGAACGTGTATGTGCGTGTGCGTGTGTGACCTTTTGATTCCATGGGGTTTGGCCAGCCTCATCTAGCCACATGCCCCTTCTTGCCTTAAACCCTGGCTTCCAGTTTCTTTGGTCCAGGAGGAGGCCTCAGCCTGGGGCAGGCATAAGCCACTCACTCAACTTCCATCTTATTCTTCTGCAAAGAATCAATGAAGGCTTGCCACTCCACTGGGTAAAAACGCTTATAGACGTTGATCTTATTCCGAATCTGTTTCGGGGTATCTTGATAGTAATTCTTCTCATCCCGGGCCATAGCCTAAGAAGGGAGAAGAGCCACTTGAGGAGGGCTGGACAGGCACAGTTCAACCCCTAGTTCTGCCTGAATTGGGCAAACCACCTCATATCCCCGAGGTTCAGGTTCCTCACCTCAAAAACCATGGTATATGTGGGGAAATGGGTGCAAATGCCCTCGGGGACCAGGCAGGAGCTAGGGCCAGAGGAATAGCTAATGCTCCATCCACAGCCACTGATCCCACTTGGGCACCAGAGTCCAGTGCAGCCAGATTTTTCAATTTTTAAGAGAAGTCAAAAACGTGAATTTTTATTTGAAACCCCTCATAATTAAAATAGCAACTAGTTCAAGTTCTTTAAAAATACCATGCAAACAAAACAGCGTATCTGTGAGTGGGATATGAATCACAGGCCAGTCAGTCTATCCCAGCTATAAGCATCTGTCAATGAGATCAATTTCCTTAAGTCTCTCTTTCCTTTCTTTGTTTCAACTCAGTCTCAGGCAAGAGTCAAGAAGATCAGACCCCAAATTGTCCAGGGTACCTTCCCAACAGACTCAAGTGGTTCTTCCCGTGGGGCCCAAACTACTCACCTTATAGTCCTCGCCATGATTCTCCACCATGTAACGTACATAGTCAATCAAGTCTCGGGACAGCGTATTTCCTTTCTTTTCTGGGAGGCTGGCTTCTGCCTCCAGGTCTGGGGTGAGAGAAGCCAAGAAACAGGAAAAGAGGTTTTGCCTCCTGTACTTTTTGGTTGCCCAGTCATTCTTTCACCTAATCCCAAACCATGGCCATCAGATGGCCATCAGGCTTTGCCTCTTCATCCCCAATTCGGTACTCTTCAGCCCCTTGGATCTCAGGCTGTGCCTATGACACAACCATCTATCAGTTTTACAACTACCTAAAAGGCAAGTCTTATCTCTTTGGGTCTAAGCTTGGTAAGAGACAGGTACCAAACTAATAATCTCTACTTAGTACCAGGTCGTGGGGACAGAAATGAAGATACATTGCCTACCAGAGGTTGGGACTCCCTTCCATCTCTAAAATTTCCCGAGAATTTCTTTTCTTTAAGTGTTACAACAATAATGTGAAATGGAAAGGTGTGAATGAGAACTAACGCCGCAGGAACCAGGGCCTGAGGCTGGGTCTCACTGGAACCTCACTGCTCTATGTAAGGTAAAAAGCCAAGCTGTGGAGGCAATTATGGCTTCGCTTTTAAAACAGCTAAGCAGGGGGGACTGGGTGGCTCTGTCGGTTAGACATCCGACTTGGGCTCAAGTCATGGCCTCATGGTTCATGAGTTCAAGCCTGGCATTGGGCTTGCTGCTGTCAGCACAGAACCCACTTCAGATCCTCTGTCCCCCATTCTCTCAGTCCCTCCCCTGCTGATTCCCTCTCCTTTCTTTCAAAATAAATTTAAAAACTTAAAAAAAAAAAAAAATAAAATCGTTAGGCAAACACTCCCCATTTCTCAATGTGAAAAATAGCTCACAGAAAGAAGGTGGTCAAATGTTATTCAAGGGTTAAATGCTAAATTGCTTATGGTCAAGAATATCTTTGACTTGGTTGCCAGGGGCAAGGTTGGGGTGGGGAGACAGGAACAAGGGGATTAGTTGTTTAATGGGTAGAGTTTCAGTTTTGAAGATGAAAAAGTTCTGGAGATCTGCTACATGACAACATAAACATACTTAACATTACTGAGCTATTTAATGAAAAATGATAAAGATAGTAAACTTTATGTATTATGTTTTTTACCATAATTTTAAAAAATTTTTTAGAGAATGAGAAGTAAAACTTTTTAAGATTAACTCTGACTACAATAAGTACACCTGGTTTTATTTATGCAATCCTGTGTACTAATTCTTATGAGAATCACTGATGAACTGATAATAGGAACTCAAGAATTCTCTACGTAATGTCTGGCCATTTAAAACCCTTTTACCTTAAAGGTGCCTCGTTAGCACAGTAGGTAGCGCGTCAGTCTCATAAAACCCTTTTACCTTCAGGAGAACTGTTAAAAATCTTGGACAGGTAAGAAGAAGGATGGGTGGAGAATTTCAGAGTATACCTGCTTCCCTGCAGATTTTACTCTGCTCTATTTTAATATTCAGCCTCTATAGCCTTAATATACATAAAATTGACTTGTCAATGAAAAGATTAAATGAGATGGTGGAATCTCTATAAAAATCTGTTTGTCCTTAAATTCATGACAAGCTGAACATGTGCCTGAGACTTAATGGTTTCTTTTCTATTCTCTTAAGGCACCTGGCTACATCCTCCCTGAACATCTCTGACCTCACTTCACACACTGGAGTTTAGTAAGTAGACTGAAAATGTCCCAGTTAGAGACGCAGTATTAACTTTGTGAACCCTGGGCCAGTTCCCTTCTTCCCTCTGAACCTCAGTTTCTCCATCTGTAAAATGAAGACATCTGAGGCCCTTTTTAGCCCTGGCTGAGCAGGATAGTGACCTAGAGGAATGTGACCAGCACTCACCATTTAGTACATAGGGTTTTCGCACAAGCTCCTTAGGCCTTTCCTCTACATCAATGTCCATGGCCTTCACCTGAAGAGAACAGAAGTTGTGAGACCAGTATACAAAGGAAGGATCCCAGATGAGGGAAAATTCTAGAGGTTCCTGCCCTCCTCACACAACTGCACTACCCACAAAAATCCCTACACAAGTTCAGGCAGGAAGAAATGACAGAGAGGGGGCGCCTGGGTGGCGCAGTCGGTTAAGCGTCCGGCTTC